GTGCAGCTATGGCATACAACTATCTACTGGGGCTTTGGGGGCAAAAAATAAAATAAATAAAATCTTTAATTAATTAATTAATTAATTAATAAAACAACGCTCCTCCCACCACACCACACTGCCAAAGAGAACTCCAGGTTCAAATGCTGAAGATTTCAAAATACCATGATTCAAGAAAAAAGGCAGATTCTCAATATGGTTCAGTAGCTACTTACCCAATTCCTCCCAAAAAAAGAAAGAAAAAAAAGCACTTCTTAAAGATGGGGAAAAAATATTAAATCAGACAGTTAAAAATTCTTAGGAAATTTTTTAAAATAATTTTTATTTCATTCACCATTGAATTTTTATTCTTCTCTCAGCTTTTAAAATTAATAGGGAGGGAGGTACACACACAGGGGCAAGCTGGGAGAGCCTATAGCTACCTGTAAAAAACACAAATAGATTATTCCATTCTTCCAAGCAGCATTTAAAATTTCAAAGTAAAAACAGCAGTCATATACAATTATACATGTTTAACTCTCACATTATTTTGTAGAAAAACATAAAATACAAAAAAAAGGCAATATCAGGTTAGACGCCTTTAGAATGCTAAAATCCAGATGACCTTGAAGCATGCTGGATCTTAAAATCACTACAACTACTCCAAAATATATAAACGGGCCCCATTATGAGAAATATAAACACGAACATGATAAACAACTGCAAAGCAAGCAAGAGGAAAGCAATCTGAAGGTGGCTCAAGCTTAGACTAGGATACACCGCGACACATCCTGGCACAGTACAGTCAGATTCTTGCACTAACTGGCGATTCGGAGATGGATGCATTAACAAAGCTCTCCCTGTAGCTTGCAGCCTGTGGGAAAAAAGCCAAACATGTGTTGAACCACTTATTACTTCTCTTGTCAAAGCTTCTTCTTTTCAAGCCCAAACTCTTATTAAAATACAAAAGTTGTACACTTTACAAATGATTTCATTGTCAGAACTATTTCAAAATTTCACATGCAAAATGTATGTAGCTGATGCTTACACTGTGCTTTTCTTTGAACAAAAATTGCCCATCAACTGATCAAAATTGGCCTCTAGAGGCAACATATGCCAGAACTGGGCACTCCCCTACCCTTTCCTGGTCTAGTGTCCTATTGGCTTTTACAGACCTCACTAACTTTTTCTGGCCCAGAAGGGATCTTGGAGAACCATCCTCACTCATCTCCTCACTGAGCCAATGAAAAGCCGTGCTCTGCAAACCAGGGATGCAGGGCCTGGAGGAGGACCCTGGTCTCAACTCCCAGGCCTTGGCCTTCTGACCACAGCGCTGTCTCCCTCGTTCATTTTGGTAAAGGTCAGAGAAGGGCTCTACCTACACACTCTCTTTAATATTCAGTCTATGGGCCGGCCCCGTGGCTTAGCAGTTAAGTGCGCGCGCTCCGCTACTGGCAGCCCGGGTTCGATCCCGGGCGCGCACCAACACACCGCTTCTCTGGCCATGCTGAGGCCGCGTCCCACATACAGCAACTAGAAGGATGTGCAACTATGAAATACAACTATCTACTGGGGCTTTGGGGGGAAAAAAAGGAGGAGGATTGGCAATAGATTTTTCAGTCTACACATTTGTATGCTTGACCTTGGACTTAACTTTAATAGTCTACACTGCAATCTGTGAATCATCCATTAAGGCTGAATCTCAGAAACTCATCTCTGTCCCCACTAGAAACTAGTAAGAGCCATAAAGCCAGCTTTGTTAAGACTTACCCCGCTGAACTGAATCTCACTAGCAGCTTCCCAAATCTCATTCCACCACCAACACCGAACGTTAAAATGAAGACATCAGGAAATGGAGTAAGTTACCCTTCCTCCTCTTCCTCATACCTGCCTCCAGCCTATCCTCACCAACAATTCCTGCAGACTGAAAAACATTCAAAGTAAACCACGCAAAAGGGAGAAATTTTTTTAATTTTTAAGCTAAGACACGTTACAGAATTCCAAACTGCTGACAGATCACTCCGCAATTCTAAATCTCTCTCGATACCGTTTAGGCTTTGGTGGCCAACCTGGTTTGCTTTCAAACAGTCATAGGACAAAGATTTTTGCCTCTCCCCACCCAAAGAAACGTGTCTGTGAAGGCTGAATTTTCATTTTACATTTCCGAACCTCAGAGCTTCCAATACAAAGGAAATATTTAAATTTAAATTTTTAAAATGCATATATACATATGAAGATTTAAGGTCCTGGATTGAGGGGCCTAGAAATCCGACTCTAAGGCTAGCGCTGCTTACCTAGACAACCAAATTAATGAAGCTACCTGACTACAACCTAAATAGAAATCTTCTGTGCTCCGAGGACTAAGGTAACATTACTTTCCAATTCAGATTAAGCCAAAAGGGAAACAGACCTTCAAAAATTACAGCTGCATTACAATCTGGCTGAAGTCATCTGGGTTTTAATGGTTCTAACTATAGTCAAGTTCAGTGTAAAAGTACAGAATCCCTCCATGGACTTTCTTCCAGACAAGGATTCTGCACACGCAGTTATAACCTCACATGTGAAAACTATGAGAAAAAAGCAGCAAGAGTCAGAAATAAACATAAACTCATCTGGGTTTTAAAATTTTATAAATGGAATGTGTGAATTCAAAAGTATGACATATTCCTAATTTTAAGTCAACGAGCAACAGAGCCAGACCAGCAAAATGACCGGTGAATCACCAACACTGACCAGAGGCTCCGTTCAAAGCAATTACTTCCACTCTGTTGGCAGCAATCAGATTTGGGTCAGCCACATACTAGCAAGCCAATCTGATTAGGCTGATCAGACTTAAAGCCTAGGTCTCATCTGTGGACTAAGGGTGAGTCACAGTAAACAT